TTTTTTTATCAAAAATTTTCTTGGGGGACTCTTACAATCCGTCATTCAATTGTATTAAGCACACTTGTACATATGTTGCCATCAACATTTCTAAAACATAAAATGAAATTCCTGAAGACTTTGATATTTTCTCCATTTATTGGCTCTGTGTGAGGACTTCTTCCCCCTGTATGTTCAGGTGTGATTCATGTTGAAGGCCGTAGTCTTTGATCTTCATCAATAGGTGCTATCAGACCTCTTCATTTACAATTTCATCAAGGAAGGTTGTGTCAACTGCATGGTGGAATTCGTTAATAAGCATTTCTCCCATCATGAAACTATATTCGTATTCATATAGTTCAGTTCCTTGGACTATTTGCTCAGTACGCAACTGAATAAATATAGTGTCAGGGTATATTGTGGGTTGAATTGTGTCCCTTCAAAATATGTATCAACTTGACTGGGCCCGATTCTCAATATGATGTAGTTACCCACCATTATGTGATCTGATGTAATTATCCTATGTGTTGTAAATCCTAATATCTATAATGTTAATGAGGTAGGGTACAATATACCAGATCAGGGTGTAGCCTCAAAATATTTCTTTGGGGATATAAAAGAGATGAAACAAGCAAGCCAAATGTCAGAGGGACCGACTGCTACCTAGAAAGAAGAGTCAAATGGAATGCACCCTTTGAACCCAAGGTCTTTGTGCTGAGAAACTCCTAGACCGAGGGGAAGATTGATGACATGGGCCTTCCCAGAGAGCCAATAGAGACAGAAAGCTTTACCTGTCGTTGGCACCCTATGGATTAGGACTTCTAGTCACCTAAACTGTGAAAGAATAAATTCCTATTTGTTAAAGCCATCCATCTGTGGCATTTCTGTTATAGCAGCACCAGGTAATTAAGATCAGACACAACCTTGACATACACGTTCCTTGATTTTAAACCACAAATACCACTTTGGTTTGAACACCTTCCTCTTGGCCTATATATATAAGTTCCGCAGGAGCACAATTAAGTATTCTGGAATTCCCATTATTCTCAATGTTTTCCATAATCTGTTATGATCTATACAGTTGAATGCCTTTGCATAGTCAGGGAAATACAGATAGACATCTTTCTGATACTCTCTTTCAGCCAAGATCCATCTGACATCAGCCATAATATCCCTTGTTCTCCGTCCTCTTCTGAATCCAGCTTGAATTTCTTGAAGTTCTCTTTCAACATGCTGTTGCAGCCACCTTAAAATTTGCTTCAGGAAAATTTAACTTATGTGTGATATTAATGACACAGCCTGAGATAATTCCCACATTCTGTTTGATCACTTTTCTTTTTTTCAAATTGTTTTATTGGGGGCTCTCACAGCTCTTATAACACTCCATACATCAATTGTATCAAGCGTATTTGCATATGTCACCATCATCATTTTCTAACCATTTACTTTCTATTTCCCCCAACCTGGATGAGTCACAAATAGTGATCTCTAACCATCCATGGACCAACTGGCTGTCTTCTATATTTCTTGGAATTTGGCATTTAAATTTGGAGTGACCTCAGAATACTTCCCATTCCTCGCAGGGCTTCCTACCTCTGTGCTGAGATTCGATCTCCCCAAGCTCCAGGGATCTGGGACAAGTGCCAGGGTGGCCAAAGCCCCTAGGCCAGTGGCTTCTGCTCCAAGATGCCCATCCCACACTCCCCAGTGATCATTTAAATCTTATTTTCAATGTGGGCCACGATGTGTGGTAAGCATTGCTCTACGTAAAGTGTGGCCTGATATTGAAAAATGGATGCTGCATAAAAGCAATTCTAGAAAACAAACCATCTGTGATCTTTGGGGAAATCCTCATGGCGTCCCATTGACAGAGTCTTTTGGGTGATATAAAAACGTCAGCACTTTGCTGCGAACCAAAAGGTTGGTAGTTTGAGCCAACCCAGAGGCACCTTGGAAGAAAGGCCTGGTGGCGTGCTCCCAACAATCAGAACCTTGAAAACCCCACGGGTCCTCGTTTGACTCTGCCTTCACGGGGTCACCATGAGTCAGTTGATTCGATGGCCGTTGCTTTGATCTTAGTGATGCTCGCAGCCTTTGCCGTCTGTGATGCTTGGGCGGAGGTTGGTCATGACCTGGTGCACCCATGGTGAGGGCCTCTGGCAGTGCTCTGGCGTGCTCAGCCTTTGTGGGACCCATTCAGGCCTATTAGAAAAGAAGGGGAAACTCACTGCCATCCAGCCGATGCCGACACATAGTGACCCAATAGGACAGGCTAGAACTGCCCCCTGAGACCATAATTCTTTTTTTTTTTTTTTCAAAGGAAGATGGTCTTTATTCCCAATGCTCTTCTTTTTTTTAATTTTTTTAAACATTTTATTAAGGGCTCATACAACTGTTATCCCAATCCATACACACATCAATTGTGTAAAGCGCATTTGTACATCGTTTCTCAAAACATTTTCTCTCCACTTAAACCCCCAACATTAGGTCCTCATTTTCCCCCTCCCTCCCCGCTCCCCCCTCCCTCATGAGCCCTTGATAGTTTATAAATGGGTATTTTGTCATAGCTTGCCCTGTCCGACGTCTACCTTCACCCACTTTTCGGTTGTCTGTCCCCCAGGGAGGAGGTCACACACAGTTCCATGTAATCGGTTCCCTCTTTCCTACCCATTCTCCCTTTACCCTCCCTGTTTTGCCACTCACACCACTGGTCCTATAGGGCTCATCCGTCCTGGATTCCCTGTATTTTCAGTTCCTATGTGTACCAGTGTACCTCCTCTGGAGACCATAATTCTTTACGGGAGTAGGAAGCCCTATCTTTCTCCTCAGGAGCGACGGGTGGTTTCGGACTGCAGACTCTGTGGATCGCAGCCCCACGCATGACCGCCTTACCACCAAGGCTCCTCAGAAAAGAAAGGAGAGTAACATTTTAGGAAATAACCTTGAGTTCGCTCTTATTTACCAAGAAGTAAACCATCAAACCTTGGCTATGCCCATGGTTTAGAAGTGAACAAAGTCCTCTCGGCCTACCTTGTAACTGGCATTTGGGCACCACTCTTCTGAAAGAGCGAGGGCACTTGCACATAGTGGTTCCACAACAAAACTCACTGCCATCGGGTCTGTTTTGATTCATAGTGAATCTATATGACAGGTTAGAACTGCCCGGTGACTTTCTGAGACTGTAATTCTTTACGGGAATAGATAGTCTCTTCTGCCTCCCGAGGAGTCATTGGTGGACTAGAAATGACAACCTTGCCGTTTATAGCCCAACTAGTACCCACTGTACCACCATTACTGTTAGTTAGTTATAAATGAATTTCGAACCACCCAATAAGAAAATCCCATCCTACCCCCACCCCTGGCCAATGTTTGTGACAAATGAAAATTTAAATGGTATGTCATGCAGTATCCAAATAAGAACTTTTATCAAGGTTCATTTCCATTTGAAGGATAATGTCTATCGTTCTGTTGTGTCCTGGTGGGTCTGATGATGTTGGTAACGCTTTCTGGTTTTGTTTTGTTTTTTCCTGTTTTCTGGAACAGTAACAGAATTAGTGTGCCGGTGTCGTACTATGTGAAGAAATCTGAGAGCTGTTAAAATGCTTAAAAATAAAATGATCAATCCTTCTTTTGTTCTCTTGACAGGATAATTGAAGCTGTCTGCATAGGTTGGTTCACTGCAGAGTGCATCGTGCGCTTCATCATCTCCAAAAACAAGTGTGAGTTTGTCAAGAGACCCCTGAACATCATTGACTTACTGGCAATCATGCCGTACTACATCTCCGTGCTAATGACGGTGTTAACCGGCGAGAACCTGCAGCTCCAGAGGGCAGGAGTCACCTTGCGGGTGCTTAGAATGATGAGGATTTTTTGGGTGATTAAGCTTGCCCGTCACTTCATTGGGCTTCAGACACTTGGGTTGACTCTTAAGAGATGTTACCGAGAGATGGTGATGTTACTTGTCTTCATTTGTGTTGCCATGGCGATCTTCAGCGCACTCTCTCAGCTTCTTGAACATGGGTTGGACCTGGAAACATCCAACAAGGACTTCGCCAGCATCCCCGCGGCCTGCTGGTGGGTGATTATCTCTATGACTACAGTTGGCTATGGCGACATGTATCCGATCACAGTGCCTGGAAGAATTCTTGGAGGAGTGTGTGTTGTCAGTGGGATTGTTCTGTTGGCATTACCTATCACATTTATCTACCATAGCTTTGTGCAATGTTATCACGAGCTCAAGTTTAGATCAGCTCGATACAGTAGGAGCCTCTCCACCGAGTTCCTAAATTAGTGCATCACAAACCAACTCTGGCATACGCTCTGGTTGATCAACGGGGCCGATGCTACTTCATATTCATGCTCATTCTTGCAGGGTGAGCACGTAGCAGTACTGTCATCCTGTTGGCGTAGGGTACAAATGATTCTTTCCAGGTGGAGGGAGAAAGCAGTACATATATTGCGGAGCCAAGAGCTGGGAGACTGCAGAGCAGAAGTACGGAATCCTAGAGTAAGGGCTAGGACCGGATTGTATTTGCACGCATCTCCTCCTTGCCTTGGACAAGTACATTTTGTTTGCTTCCTGAAAGCACATGATCCAAACCTTATAAAACCCAAAGGAACCATTTTCCAAATGGTTCTCCATTTTATGAATTTAGAAAAAGGTTGGAACTTTCAGTACTTTTTTGGGGGGGCAGGGGGTGTTGCAGGTAACATTTTCATTTCTATATGTTTTATAGTCTCTTGTATCAATGTCAGAAGTATCCCAGAAACCTCTGCCACATGCAGGAACTGTTTCACAAATACCTTGGTGAGTGGGTCAAATCTGAAGCTGTCGAATGGAGCTCGCTACAAGCACAAGTCCTATTTGCAAGTCTTTCCCAATTCTCTGATTTAGCCCCGTTCCTGAGTTCACCTTCTGGCACCTCCTGAGCACACCCCCTGTTTGCGTTGTAGATCTCTTTGATCTTGTCACTGAAACGGCTCCAAGAAAGTATGTGCAAGCAGAGAGAACTTGTATTGTTTGACTTTATATTGGATAAGATCAGACTACTCTGCTGTGATTGTCCTGACGTTCAGCTGTCCAAACAAGAATGTGTTCAACAGAAAAAAACAATGCTGATGGAAACAGTGTGATGCTGTTCAATATTACAACCCCTATTGACGGGCTCTTCCTTCTCAAGCACTGTGGCTTTAATAAGACTTACAGATGAAAGAATACATGCTTCGTCTTTTCATATCAAGGTTTTACTTATGTGTTGTTACTGGGTTATCATTAAAAAAGAAATTAAGTCTTTCTGTACTTCTAGTAGTTGCCCAACTCAGTCAATTTTGATCTGGCTAACAGCAATGAATGTATAAATTCTTTGATCTGATCCTTATCATGTGAGTCACAGCGGCACCAAAACTTCCTGTAAGGACACTGATGAATATATCATATTAGTCTGGTTAGATGAATAGGGTTAGATCATGCAGAACACTGACCATTGTTGAATGCTCAGTTTTTGCAATCTAAATTAGAATTTTATTTTTCCAACCCATTGCCGTAGAGAAGTCAGTGTGTAAACACAAACACTTTGAAGTCACAGTTTCATGACGTACACTGCCCAACAGCAAACTTTACAATAAAAAGGAAACCAAATCATTTACTTCTCTGGGAAGGGTGGCGATGGGAACAGGAAGCCAGGGGATAGGCCAGGAGATTCTTGTCAGAGAAAGGGTTACCAGAGTGTTTGTGAAAGGAATCTGCACCATTATCTAGTTCAAACCTCTACCACTGAGGTAGAAAACTATGCCAAGAGGAGGGTGGCTGTCAAGGAGTCTCGGGCTAAGACCTGGAAGCTGCGCCCCGCGAGGGCCTCCCCCCCCTATAGCTTGCTCTTGACCTCCTGGAGAAGCCACGCCTCCCTGCCACTGCCATGCATTGCTGAAGTGACTGCAAAACCATTTGGGTGATTTCCCTTTCCAAATTTCATGACCTGACTCTTGGCAATAGCGTGGCCAGTAAAGCTGCCACTTCATCATCCCCGCGGCTGCCTGCGGTGTGCTGCTTCTTAGTGCTCAGGATAAGTTCTCTCCTTTATTGTATATGTACTGTATTTTAATATAATCAATGCAAATGACGTGGATTTGTTTTTTCCGGAGATCTCTGAATTAAGGCTTTGCGATTGATGCAAAGAATCACAGATGAGGGCATCTGCATATTACTAGTGAAAATAGGATGGGTTCCCATTTCACGGGCACGTGGCCCTCGAAGAGCCCTGGTTGTATAGTGGGTTTCACGTTGGACTGCTTGTTAACCAGAAGGGCAGCAGTTGGAAAACCATCAGCCGCTCCATGGGAGAAAGACGAGGCTCAACTCCTATACAGTGAGTCTCAGAAACGCCCAGGGGCAGTTCTGCTCTGTCTTTATGGTCACTGTGAAGCAGAATCAACTCAACTCGATGGCAGTGGGAGGGAAAGGAACTCTTCGTGTGATTGTGTCTTCTCTCCCCAAATAAATGACAAGTCTCCGGAGGCCTGGGGCCTGCTCTCCGGCACGAGTCTTCCCATCTCGTCCTTGGTTGTAACAGCCTTCAGCAGGAACTGCAGGCTGATTTGGAGGGAAACACTTCTGTGTGGAAAGGCAACGAGAAGCCTCCACCTATGTGTGTACTTAGGAGCCCTGGGAGCAGTTACGCTTTGGGCTGCTAACCAAAAGGTTGGAGGTTCAAACCCACCAACTGCTTCATGGGAGGAAGAGGAGGCAGTCTGCTTCTATAAACACTTAGATCTCAGAAACTCCAGGGAGCAGTTCTGCTCTGTCTGATAGGATCGCCACGAGTCGGCATCAACTCCACTGCAGTGCGTAGATGTGGACTCCATGAACCATGCGAAGGGATGTACACAGACTTTGAGGCTGCCTTATGTGTTGTTGTTATTGTTGGGTGCCACTCGGATGGTTTAAATTCTTACCGGCCCCAAGTGTAACACAATGAAACACAGTCCCGCCCTGGGCCACCCTCACAGTGCTGGTTTTTTTTGAGCCTATTGTTGCAGCCACAGTGTCATGTCAGCCGTCTCATTCAGGGTCTCCGTCCTTTGCACTGACCTTCTACGTCACCACGCATGGTGTCCTTCCCCGGGGACTCCTCGCTCTTGATAACATGTCCAAAGTACGTGAGACGGTGTCCCCATCTTCCCTTCGAAGGAGCACGCTGGCTGTGCATCTTCCAACACAGATTTCCTTCCTGTGCCACCAGACCATGGGACTTCCAGGATTCCTTGCCAATCCCATAATCCAAAGGCATCACTTCTTTCTTGTTATTGCCCAGCTTTCCTAAAAATAGGAGGCAATGGAAAATGCCATGGCTTCGATCAGGTGCACTGTTGCCTTCAAAGTGACACCATTGGCTTTTATTGTTATTGTTTGTTTGTTTGTTTGAAAGGAGAGTGAGAATATCGAGTACTAGTACCCAGGAAGACAGACTGGACTGTGGCCATTAAAACCTAGTTCCTTGAGCAGTAGGTTAAAGGATGTTTTATAGACGGGGCTTATGGGAAGGGAAGGAACAGTCTGGCTTATGAGATAGGCCACCTGGTCCTCAAATTGTTGTCCTTGCTTGGAGTGGCCTGTCTGCACTCCAGCTGCAGGTATTGCTAACTGAACATCTGCCCTTCTGATGGGGACGGGTTAGTCTTACCTTCTAAAGGGAAACAGCCACAGTGTGTTAGTCGACCATGAAGTCTAACCAGGATTGCTATTCAAACAAAAGGGGAGCCGAGCGCAGGATGCTTTAGCCAAACGCTGCAGGTCTGCATTCCTGCTAGTGGAGTTCTTACGCTTCCGGTGGAGATGGTTAATCATAGCTTCTAAAGGGAAACAGCAAAAGCTTGTCATTTCATCACGACTCTTAACAGGATTGCAAGACTGAAGCAGAAAGAGAGCAAGAATACGGGAAGCCTCAGCAACACAGGCATTGTGAGACCTCAATTCCCCTCTTCTATTTTTGAGGGGCTCCGAATCTTGGGAAAAAGGGTGTTGTCATCTTGAAGCTCCTTCCTGCTGAGTTGAGGGGGTGAGGAGGGGGGCTGACAGTCCTCGGTCAGAATAGACAGGAGAGCAATCGCCTGAATGAAGATCTTCAACAGCCCAGACAATGACACAGTAAGTCTCCTCAGCCTCCGAAGGTGCTTCTGTTCTATTTGTCGGGTGTTTCAAAAAATGACAGCCTTACAACCAGACTGGTCTTAGAATGGAGTTGGCTCTAATGGAGATGGAGAGCAAGCCTGTGTCTACTTGGTGGCCCTTAGTGTAAGGTGACCAGATTTTAGCATTGGTAAAGCGGGACAAAAGCGGGACACCATTGATAAAACTCATATCCTGGTGAAATAGCCACATGGCAGCTGAAAACCGTATACCCTAGCTTGTCGTGCATTCTTTCCAAAAATCGGGATTTTTTAAAAACTCTGCGGGATGCTTGGTTGTTTGTTTGTTTTTTTTTGTATTGTTAAAAATTGGGACTGCCCTGCCAAAAGCGGGACATCTGGTCACCTTACCTTAGTGGGGAAGGCAAAAAAACAAAAAACTAGTGCACTGGCCCTTAAGGTTTTCCCGTTAAACACTGAACAGGCCAGGTAGAGGACCCACTTCTGGCCTCACTATTGTACTCACTGGAGGTATGATTTTTCTTCCGCATAAAAGGTGTATCCCAGGGGCGCACACAGGGACTGGTTGCCATTAGACCATCTACCATGTTGTGGTTTGTGCTCTGAAACCATGGAACCCCAGTGTCTGGTGACAAGAAGGGGACAAGCTGAAAATCTCTCCACACTTGGTTGGGAATTTGTACCTGTGGCTGTCTGGATCACATAGGTCACTCACCATTTTGCTTAGCAAAATTTTAGACTCGTGAGCAGAAAGCACGGGACAGCAAAAGGTATTGAATCAGGCAGGTGCGGATGGGGCCCCAGAGGTCTTGTTGCATTGGGGAGGAGTTGGGAGGTGCAGGGTGGTCATCAAGGACTGGGGCCACCGTCGAGTTTGCTGTGTCCTCCCCTGCCAACCATGCAACTAGGATAATTGGTGGCGAGTCCCACAATGGCGCAGGTGGATGTCTTTGTTTGTTTAATTATTAAATCACTTTATTGGGAGCTCTTCCATCTCTTATCAGAATCCATACATTCATCCTTTGTGTCAAGCGCATTGGCACGCATGCTGCCGTCATCACTGATGTCTTTGGTTTTGGAACGCACGTTAAAGTGGTCTCTTGTAGAAGATTTGTACTTTGCAATATGTACATTGATGTCTTGACCTCTGCTTCCATGGACATTGATTATGGATTTAAGTAAAACGAAATCCTAAACTCAGTTTTATCTCTCTGAGGCTTTTTACTGGTCTAGTTAGGAGGGTTTTATCCCCCACTCCCCCCCAATCTTGAGGTGTAATCCATACTGAAGGCTGTGGCCTGGATCCTTAGTAAATCCTTTATGTCTCCTTCACTGTCAGCAAGCAGGATTGTATTACCCGGACACTGGAGGTTGTCCACGAGCCTTCCTCTCATCCCGGTGCCACATTCTTTTTATGGTCCAGCTTCTCAGATTATTTGCTCAGCATCCAGATTAAATAAAACCCTGACACATACCTGTCTGATTATGAACCACTGAGTTCCGGTTCTGTTCAATAAAGGACTGCCTCATTGGTCTGTACATGAGCACAGAGACGTGGTCTGAAATGCCCGATGTAATAGTAATAAGTTGTTATAACTCACACAGTCCAATGCTTTTGCACAGTCAGCAAGTCATCAGCGTTGTAATATTCCTTATTTACCAGGAAGATCTATCCGATAGTTTGGCTGAAAGTATATTCCTCAACTCATGGTCTCTTTTCAATATTTTTCGAATTTTGAGCTATTTCTTTTTGACGTACTGCTGAAATCACTTAACTCATCTTCAGCAAATGTCTTATAGCATGCAGTGTTAATAATTTTGTCCTTTAATTTCTGTATGATTCTGCTGACTCCCCATCCTTTGGATGCTTGCGGTTGGTTGCCCAGGTAACTGTCTTTCAAGTTTCATGGCACATACAGGTTAGTGCTTCCAGCATTGCATCCATCTACCGAAACATCTCAGTGGGTATTCTGGCAATTCCTGGAGCCTTGTTATTGGCCGATGCCTTCACGGAAGCGCGGACTTCTTCCTGCAGTACCTGCAGATTGTCATCATGTGCTACCTCGACCAATTCTATCGGGTCAGATAGTCTGTATTCCTTCCACCCTTGTGATGCTGCTGTGCCCATGGCCTCCTGAATGTTGCAGTACTGAGCTTGGTGTTTTTCCTTCGGTCCTTTCCGTTTGTGACACGCGCTGAGCATGTTCATTTGGTTTTCCAACGCGGGAACTTGCACATTTCATCATCATTCTTCATTTTGTTTCTTAAACTGCTCTTTGAAATTTTCTGATCAGGTCTTTTATTTCACCATTGCTTCCGTTCGCTTTATGTTCTACTTTATGTTCAAGTGCAAGTTTATGCACTACTTTATGTTCAAGTGCAAGTTTCAGAATCTCTTTCTACACCCGATTTGGCCTTTGGTTTTCTGTCTTTTTAACGACTCTTTGCTTTCTTCCTGTATGATATCCTTGTCACAACTTCTCTGACTTCTGCCGTGAGTGGTCAGTGTGTCAAACCTGTTCTTGAGATGGTCATGGTCTCTCAATTATGTAGAAAGTGAGGAATCTTTTGTTGGTGATGACAGATTTTTCGTAGAACTCATTTTCTTAACGGGGGATGCTGGGAAATAGTTAATGACAGTTCAGATACTCATGCACTGATGATGATGATGAGACACAATAGAGTAATTTATTCGTGAATTAAAACGTATCTTCTGCCCATTTCAGTTGTCTTTTTAAAGGAAGAGATCCATGGTCTTAATTTTTTTCCTGAATGCTGCTACCTTAAAAAATCATCGAGTCATTTCTGTGTTAGTTTTACTTCTGGATATTTCCCATAGCCCCATGTTGACGGCAGGGTTGTTTTCCTTAGGATCCGTTTCCGTACTCGCAGGTCGGGACCCTAAATTAGAATGGCCAAAGAGGAGCAGAAGCCGGGATTTACTGCTCCGTCGTTCATGTGACTCGGTCTTGTGTGTGACCGGTTTTATAGCTTCTAAATTGGGACTTTTCAGGAGAAGAGAAACAAAATTAGGGACTATATTTGACAGTGGATTTATCATTATTCAAGGATCTATTTATCTTTTTCTTTTACCGGGGTGTTGTTGTGATTAAAACTGTTACATTCCCTTTGCTCTCTTAGCAGTTACTTGGAAGCAGACATTTGTCATTTCATAGGTTTTTAATAAAAATTTCCAAGGATTGTGGTTTTATTTTATAATATTTAGGAGAACACTTACTATGAAGCCACCATTTTACTTATTTTTTTTATAATAGCACAGAAGTTCTACAAAATCATTAAAAGTATATTTTTATACTTTCTCAGTTGGTCACAAAATTCTTCATGGCAAAAAAAAGAAAATTTCTTCATGGCTGCCTCTCTCCCAGTATCACCTTCTTAAAAAAAATATTTTTTAAGTTTATTGATAATTAATTCATGTACCATTAATTCAATGGTTTGAATATATTTATAAAAAGGTGTGCAGTCATCGCCACATCATTTGTAGAATATTTTAATTTTTGTACTCATTGTTATTAACTCCTCTTACCACCCACTCCCCAACTTTCCTGCCATACCCCAAACTCACTGCCACTGAGTGGATACTGACTCATAGTAACCCCGTAGGACAGGGTGGAACTGCCTCCGTGGGTTTCCAAGACTGTACTTGTTTGTGGGAATAGAACATCCTTTTCCTTGGACTTTCTCATGTAGAGTAGCTGGTGGTTTTAAACTGCTGACCTTTTGTATCACAACCTCAGATATTGTTAATCTAGTTATTGTCTCTATTGATCAATTCATCCTGGATTCATCTAAAGAAATTCATATTTTAAAAATCCCATGTTCACCTTGGCAGCACATAGACTAAAATTGGTACACAATATGGAGAAGATTAGCATGGTCCCTGCACAAGGATGACGTGGAAATTTGTGGTGTTCCATGTTAAAAAATAAAAAAATCCCAACCACAATAACCAAATGAAACACAGAAAAACTTCAATCCAAAAGAAAGCAGAAAATAATAAAAATAAGTCAAAAGGGAAATAAGATGCAAAATTTAACATAACTGTATTTGCATTGATTCACTTTCTGATGCTCTCTATCTGAGAACAAGGCTAGTCACATACCTGGTTAGTGGTCCAAGGGAATTCACTGGGAGGTTTGATCCCCATCGGGACTCTGCAAATGGATTTCTGACTTTCACTGCCATCCATAGCCTCCTTCAAACCAGGTGCTCAGTATTTAAGCGCTAATACAATTCCCTCCTCTGATCTTGGATTTTATTATTTACAATTTTTAGGTTATATAGGCTAGTGGGCTTAGCTGACCCTTCCCTTAGATGGCTGTACTTTATAAGTTTTTCAAATAGAAATATAGTCTCACACAGTGACTGGCATCAAGTCAAAATACTATTACTTCTTGTTAAACTTTTGACCAGCTGTCTTACCTGGGTGTCCTGTGATCTGGAAGGGAGTGAAAGCAGAGTTAAGTTAGGGTTGATGTTGGGAGAATTTTACTTGTTGGCTTGATGTTTTCTTTTTGTTGTTAGTTGCCACGGAGTCGACTGACTCATTGCAACCTCGTGTGTGTGTGTGTGTGTGTGTGTGTGTGTGTGTGTGTGTGTGTGTGTGTTAGGTAATGCTGAGGTGATTCTGACTCAGCAAGCGCTGCACATCAGAACGAAACACTGCCCGGTCTTGCACATCTTCACAGTTGTTATGTTGAGACCCGTGGTATCAGCCCCGTCTCAGTCATTTCCCCTGGCCTTTTGCTTTACCAACCATCATGTCCTTTTCCAGGCACTGATAAGGAGTCCAAAGTATATGAGATGGAGTCTTGCTATCCTTGCTTCTAAGCAGCATTCTGGCTGTACATCTTCCAAGACAGATCTTCTAGAAGTTCATAGTAGTTTCAATATGCTTTGCAAACACCATAATTCAACTGTATCCACTCTTCTCCAGTCTTTTTGACTCACTGCTCAACTTTCACCTGCCTATGTCGTTGTTAGGGCTCGTCCAGTTGGTTCTGATCCAACCCTTTGTAGGATGAACGAAAACCCACCCGGCACTGCACCATCATCATAATCATCCTTATGTTTGGGCCCCTGGTTGCAGTCACTGGGCCACTCCTCCACTTTGTCCAGAGGCGTCCTCTTTTCCGCGCCCCCTCTGCTTTACCGAGCATGCTGTCCTTCTGCAGGGACTGATCTCTCTGTTGAAAACACCATGGCTTCTGAAACTTTGCCCAGTCCTGCACCGTCCCCACCGTCACTGCCGTGTCTGAGACCATCCGTCCTGGTGGCTGCTACGCCAGTCCACCTCAGTGAGGATTATCATTTTGCCACCCCTCTACCAACCATGATGTCTTTTTCGAACAGTTGATCTTTGTTGATCAACAGAGCAATCCAAAGAGCAACTCCTTGCTCCTAAGCTTTCTGCTGCTATTTCTTCTAAGGTTGATTTTTTATCTTATTAAAGCCTCCCCCACCCCCTCGTTTTCTATAGAAATGCAAATGAAGAGTGGCTTTGTTTAGTACTAAGCTTTTCTACCAACTTCATAGTTCTCATACAGTATTTCAATAAACCATCATGTAAATAAATGTTCATCTGTGGATCATTTATATGATCCATATAAAATCCAATGAAGCACAAATCCGAGGTCAATGATAGAGTCAGGAAAGTGGAATCAAAGCGGCTTGGAAGAAACTTCTGGTCGACCTTGCCACCTTCCTGAGCCTCTTATCCCATCCCTCACAGAAGTGTTAGTGGTGAGCAAACTGCCACCACTGGGTTGAGCTTGAGCCGGGGTCTCCCCTGGGGGATCAACTCATCTTGCATTCTTGGGCACCTCCTTGGCCCTAGCTAGTCTGCCTCAGACTCAGTTCAGCACTCTGTAGCCTGGCTTCTCTTTATTTAGTGACATCAGAAGGCATGACAGGCACCTTTCTCTATCAACGGATTTCCTCCAGGCCTTTGGAGCCCTTACATCTTTAGGCCAAATAAAAAGTGAATCTTGCTTGGAGAAGGCTGAGATGTCTAGAGGGGGATGGGGGACAGTGTGTTGTGGCAAAATATATGTAATCAACCGTTCCCGGGACCACATTCTTCATGGGTACAATTCAGATTCTGAATAGAGATTTCAAATGGCAGCCCTTTGAAGCTGTGCAGCCACTCGTTCGCATCCAAGTGAGTACTGGTATATCATGGTTAACCGCTCTGTTCTTCGGAAGGCTCGGGCTGAAGACGGTCGTCGGTCGTCGGTCAGCGGAAGTATCCTGCGTTGTTCCAGAGAGGGTCGATGTTGGAAAGGGAAGCCTGCACACATGGCTCTGTTTGTTCAGTGTGTGCTCAGGTGGTGTTTGGTTCCCTGCCTTTCCAGGGTCCATCTGGACTCAAAGGACTGGGCAGAGCTGTTTATTTTCTGCCCCTTTTGTGGGGGCACTTCCCCCAGCGTGGTGAAAAGTCTTTCACAGGCCTGGTTCCATGGCTCCATCCTGTGTAGCTGTTTTCTTCTGCTGCTGCTCTTTTAATGAGGCTCAAACCTTCCGATTATTTTTTCCAGTTCTCCCCGACTTTCTTAACAAGCACTTGCACTTTTGATTATTATATTTGTTAGTTTCCCTACAGTTGGCAAACAGAATGCCTAACAGACTGAAGCATGGCTATGCCCTGTACCGTTGCCATGATGTAGACGATGCTGGCCGACAAAGGCTGGCAAGAAAGGCCTCGTGATCTGTTTCTAAAAACTACCCCATGACAACCCTGTGTGTGGCAGAATATTGCCCTGTAATAGCCCTAGGGCATGAGGTCTCTAGGCTAGAAGGGCTGTGATCATTAGTTAAAGCTTGTCAGTTAACCGGCAGACCTCAGAGATACTGCAGGTGCTGTTCCAGATGACGGCAAGAAAGCAGACCAGGTGACGTGAGCCACGTGAATGTTTACCTTTCTCAGCGCCGAGGTGCACACGATACTGGGGTGTTAAGTGTGCAACAGCATTAAGAAAAAGTTTGACCTGTTGTGAGATTCACCAACATGAGACCCAGAGACACAGACCAAGCGCGTGCTGTTGGATAAACAGTGCCGACAGACAGACAGACCCGCATGATGCTGGGTTGCCATGAACCTTCATTTCACAAAATAAGCATAACTTCGAAGCGTAGTAAAATGAGGTGTGCCGGTCCTGTTACTAGTTTAGGGAATTTAGTTTGGTGATCTACATTCATGCTGATTGTTGAAACAGCTTAGCTGTCAGTCATATTTAGTAAGAATCTTTGATTTAAATTTAAGAAGACCAACAACACTTTGCCAAGTAGAGTGAAAACATAAATGACATTTCGTGGGTAAAAGCCAGAGGGAATAAATATTTGCCTTCACCTCCACGGCGTGCGGGAGTCTGCATCGTTTCTCTCAGAAGCAGTGTTCTGCGGTATTGATTTATGCAGCAGCGCTATATTAAAGGCAAAAAAACTTCCCATAATTTTGTATTCCGTAGGGTTTTCCGTGGGGTTTCTCTCTAGCCTTCTCTTATTTCGGTTTTGCCCATAAAAGAGGAGGTCGCCTCGTGTGTATGGGGTTCCAGAATGTCTTTTTGCTTTTTTATTAGCTGTTGTTTGAGAAAAGAAACATAAGACAAAGGGTGTTTTCACCCTGTTTCTCTGCAATGATTTGATCAACATAGGTTGCTTGGTCACTGTGCATTGATCTTGGAGCGCGGTGGGATCCGTGTTTTCTTTCTCTAATGAATCAGAAGGTGGGAGAAGTTACCCACCTGAGTGGGCAACAGGAAGCGGTGGTGATGGCAGTGGTGACGGGTGGGCCGCTAAGCAGAAGATCAGCAGGTGGAAACCACAGGCCGCCCGTCGGAAGACAGACAGGGCTTCTTCCTCGCGGAAAGGGTTACCATAGGAACCCCCCAAGAACATTTCCACCCTGTGCTCCAGGCTCTCTCAAAGTCTAAGTCCGTTCAGTGACAGCGAGTTTAGTGAGCAGCAGTACAAGTAGGTGGAGACAAATCCTGAACTCTGGTGCACAGGAAGCATTTCCCGATTTCCTCTGGGTGAGCGCCTCGGTCATTTGCCCTTTGCTGACGGATGATTTCCTGGTGCGTGGTGATTTTGAGGTTGACCTGTGTGGGGGCGTGCCGGAGGGTTTCATTCCTCTTGATGGCTGAGCAACATTCCCTTGTGGGTACGCACCCCATTTTGTGTATCCATTCTGTTTCACCCCTCTTCGATACTGTATTCAGGAATTCTTACAGCCTGAAAGTCTTTTTAAAATTCTTCCCAAATAATGTAAACCATGTAGGAATATATTTTTGATATTAGAACAATGAGCCATCATCTCTTCCTGGGTACGATTTGATTTATCATCATTTAAGGGAAATCAATGCTTATTAGCTCTTCCCATTAATTCATCTAAAGGGGGGAAAATCAGATATTGGGTATGTGTGTGTTTGTCTTTTAAAAAATATGTTTTTAACCATCTCTTAGTTATCTAGTACTGCTGTGGCAGAAATACCACAAGGGGGTGGCTTTCTGAAACACATTTATTTTCTCCCCATCTCTTGCTGTTGTTAGTGCCAAGTCGGCCGAGACCCAGAGCGACCGCATGCAAAACAGAACGAAACACTGTCTGGCCCGCACCATCCTCACAGTTGTTCCTGTGCCTGAGCCCATGGCTGCAGCCCCTGTGTCCATCGTCCCCTTCCTCTTTACAGTGCTGCCCTTCCACTGCACCAAACATGATGTCCTTCCCCAGGGACTGCTTTCTCTTTGACAGCATGGCCAAAGTGTGCAAGACAGTCTTGCCTCTGAGGAGCCCTCTGCCCGCGCTTCTCCCAAGACAGAACGGGTTGTCCTTTCGTGGCACTGCTTCCGTCGTTAGTTTATGTAATCTCTGGCACCGCAAAGAAAGATCGACTCCGAAGATCGTCCACAACAAAGACAGCCC